AATGCTTGTACTTTTTTCTTTTTGTAGGATAATTGCAGGTGTCGTGATGTTTCTTTCAAAGCATCTGCTCGGTATAAACGTGTAGAGAGGAAGAATCTGTTCCCTGCTTTTTTGCTGCAGTGTCTTTGTTGCAGCATAAACAAAATAAAACACTATAATATATCCTTCAGTCATTTTGTGCCCAGCTGTCATTTTAATGTTTTTACTTGACACGTATTACTGTCATATTAAGTGTTTTGGAATAACAGTTAATATTGAAATTACTAGTATAAGAGATATTAATAATTCTGTGTAGCCTTTCCCTTATCATCATCTACTTTCTATCTATTAATAAACAATTCCTGTTAGAAAATACTCAAAAGATGATTTGCGTGGAGAATTACGTTTCATGAGAGTGGAAGCCACCTCTTTTAAAGGTCGTTTGAAATTTCACTTACCTTCTTGAAACTGTGGGCTTTTTTGGATGGACTTCGCTGTTGCTCTTCCTTGGTTGATTCAATAAGCTTGTATCCTGAGAATCGAAGGAGAGGGGAAAGTAAAATGAAAAAGAGATGCCCTTTGGACGGACAGCACCAGACGTGAATAGTGTATTTTTGTTGTAGAAGCCGTATTTCAGTAGATTAAATTATGCTCAAAGGAATGGTGGAGATAGAAGTTACTTGTGGGAGAGAAGATTAAATGAAATACCTCTCTTATTCCCTCAGTTTTCTTTATTCATTCAAGTTGGAGATACTTGAACATGTTTATATTCAGTGGAAAAGAGTCAGATTCATACATAGAAGGAGGAAAACATACAGAGAGATGATAGATGGGACAGTTGAGCGAGATCCTCCAAGTCAGTGTGAGTGGACTCAGGATCCACTTTACTCCTACGGTAGAAGGGGAGGATTAGCCCTGGGTGGAGAAGTTAAAAGGAAGGTGTGGCGGCAGATTGTGAATGGCAGTGGAGTTTATATATGATCTCCAGAATATTGGTAATCCTCTTGGTCTACATATGGGCACCAGTGAGTTTGGTAGCTTCAGGAAACAAAAAAAGTGATGTGACAATTTGTTTACACGCAGCTCACAAAATTGAAATGTTATCTCATTGTTATGACCATTATTAGTATTAGCTTGTTTTCATCCCAAAATTTTGGCATACTTTTGGAAGAAAAGTGCCCTAAAATTATTTGTCCACGTGTACATTGTATTTCACGCAAGTCATTCTTAGATGAGACACAGACTTGTTTTACACTCATTGGGATTTGAAAAACTCTCTGGACTAGTGTAATAAGGGGAGATTATTTTTGCATAGGAGGTGTCCCTGGGAGCTTAAGTTGGCCTTTGATGAAGTCTTTTTCCTACTCATATTTACTGAATGTTTCTATTTCCTAGTTGTATAAGAAATAATGACATTTGTCTGCCTTCAAGGAACTAATAATACAGAAGAGGCAGTAATACAGATTAGTGAAAAAATATGCACAGAAATGTCATGAAACTTACAGGAATAGTTGCTCCTCTCCTTACAGTGGGATTGCATCTCAGTGAACCCATTGTAAATTGAAAATATGCTAAGTCCAAAGTGCCTTTAATATACCTAACCTGCTGAACATCATAGCTTAGCCTAACACTTCCTTAAATGTGCTCAGAACACTTAGGTTAGCATAGAATTACAAAATCGTGAAAGCCTATTTGATAACGAATTGTTGAATATTTCATGTAACTTACTGAGTGCTGTACTGAAAGTGAAAAACAAAATGATTGTATAGGTACTGAAATACAATTTCTACTGAATGTTTATCACTTTCACACCATCATAAAGTTGAGAAGTTGCAAGTTGAACAATTGTGTCTCAGGGACCATCTCTATAAATACAGATACTTAATACTAACAGTAGTCACACCCAAAAAGAGGTATTGAGCTTTCCTGGGATTAGCTTAGGGAGAACAACAAAGTTGTATAGGGAAAGTTGTGAGGTTTTGAAGGATTAAACTTTTAGGCTGTAAATGGAAAAGGGCAACCAACTTGGAGAGAAGACCATGGAGACGGGAGAGTGTGGTGTGGCTGAGCATTTGCAGTGGTGCTCTGGGGCGTGGGAAGCGGCAGCTTCCGAGGACAAGGTACTTCTCGTTCTAGTCTTTTTACCTCTGAATCCTGGTAGAGTGTTTACCATACACTGCCCTCTGGATGATGTATGCATATGGCTGAGTGGGAGGGAAATGGGTAGGCAGTCCTATGAAGATATATGACTATTATGTACTCATAATAATTAAAAACAAAGTATTAAAAAAGGAACGTGAGTAGGCAGATACTCCAAGTGCTGCCTTGTACAGCTTGTCATGTGTACAAGTTGGACAGTATTTTATGAATGATAGGAAAGAAGTATCTCAAGCATTTTAAATAGAGCATGTTCACATTTTATCTCTTTATTTTATTTTTTGAGACAGTTTCACTTTGTTGCCCTCAGTAGAGTGCCCTGGCGTCACAGCTCACAGCAACCTTCAACCCCTGGGCTTAGGCGATCCTCTTGCCTCAGCTTCCCGAGTAGCTGGAACTACAGGCACCTGCCACAGTGCCCAGCTATTTTTTGTTGCAGTTTGGCTGGGCCTAGGCTCAAACTCGCCACCGTCAGTATATGGGGCTGGTGCCCTACCCACTTAGCCACAGGTGCTGCCCATGTTCACATTTTAAAGAGATTCCAGAGGCAGTATGAAGGATAGATTGTGAAATGGGACAGATTTGAGGCAGATACACTGGTCAGGAGGCTGCAGTTGAGAGGCAAGGAGTCTTGAACCACAGGAGTAATGTCGAAAAGGCGATAGAGGCTTGAGTTACATCTGGGGGCAGTGATGAGGCTTTCAAATTCTGTGGCCCGTTGCAAGGATTTGGTTACTACTTATCTGTGTACCAGCTCTAGACATTTTGCTTTTTAACCTTTTTGAAGACTTGACTATTGGATTTCGAGCATGGTGAATGCAGGACTGATTGGAGCATTTTGCTCTGACTCAGTGATCAGCTTTCAAGTAGCAAAGGGAACTAATGATTATCGAGCATCTGGTTAGATGCAGTGTTTAGAATTTTATTACATTATTGTAATTGCATGTTACACATTTCTGCCTTTAATTGTGATAATGTGAGTTTGGGTATTAATCATTTTCTTGATTTTATAGCTTCAGCTACTTGCCCAATCTCAGAAAGCTAGTACCATGGCAGAGTCTGGACTCAAACCCGTGTCAGTCTCACTGCAAACTCCTTCGGTAAGGAGTTTGCAAGGTCATGATTTTTGGTAAGGAAGGTGCAAGGTCATGATTGGTATTATTAAAGTAAAAACTTTCAGTTCTTCATGAAAAGCTTACATTAGAACTGTGAGAAGTCTGTTTTTAGGTATTTATGCTTTTATTTTTACACATATCTATTGGTAGGTGTGGATCTGTTGCCATGTTGGCATGTATAAAGGAGTTTGTGTTAACAGCCCCCAAACTTTTCTCCTCAAAAAGAAGGCGATGACTTGGTGGATGGCTTTGTCTTTTGTTCTGCTGATCTTCAAACTTAAGCTTGCTTATAGGATGGCTTACTGTTTGAATGATGAACTCAAAAGATCTTGTGTAGACTTGTTCCATATCTGGCGTTTAGTAAACATCTGTTGGAGTGACAGGGAAGGGTTTGTAGAAATATTGGGGGATATCACCTTCTTATCCTAAAGAAGCTTTCATCAGTTCTTTATTTTTTCTGTTGGCTGGTGTTGAGATGAAAAATGGATGAACGAAACATAACTTTATTGGCAAGAAAATCTTGGTCAGGTACGAAAGGCAGAAGAAAAAGCAGGGAAGAAGTTTCTTACTTAGGAATGGGAGTTTGAGAGGTAGAGTTTGGAGCAAGCTGACTCTTCTAGGGGATAGTTGCACTGATGTTCTTTAGGAGGAGAATAACAGAGGTTATTTATTTTGCATTATATATACATGTAAAAATTTAATATCTAAAATTTCTACATAATGTACAGAAACATAACATTTTCAAAGCAGATAATTTTGGAAGTACAACTGAATGGGAAAGAATGCAAACTAAGAAAGTTGTGTTGATTAGTAAGTAAAATAGAGATGTGACTGGGTTGTCTGAAATTCAAATAAATTACATTTATAATACAATAAAAATGACATGTTCCTCAGAATTTAATTTGAAAAGAAATTAAAAAATAGTTTCCATGTGAAAAAATGCAGCTGGTGATGTAAGTAATGACTCTCCCCACAGAAGAACACAAAAGGTGATAACGGTCTCCTGCGTATGAGAGCAGTGCCCGGACTGCTTGTGTTGTTTGCTTTTTAAAATGTAGACTTTTGTTTGCAGTTTTTGGCCAGGGCTGAGTTTGAACCCGTAGACCGAAAGAACGTGAGGGGAATGAAGATGTGTAACTTTCTCTCGATGCTTTGCATCAAATATTTTAGCCTAGTCTAAACACCAATTGGCGTTTCTTTTCACCAATATGAGAAGAAATGATTGTTGAAGATTTTTTCGTAAAGATTATCTTTAAAATATATTCAAATACTATCTGTTAAATGATTTCTATATTTTTATGCCAGAAGAATTAACTATTTAAGATTAACTTTTTTTTAAAGTTGTTATTAGGTCAAGTTTTGATGTGGAGAACTAGATTTTATAGAAAATATGGTTAAGGTTAATTTTAATAAAGTATTGTAAAATTTATGAATTCAGGAAAACTGATATCATGGATATCTCCTTTATATTTGAAATTATGACAGGTTATTTACAGTCTGCGTGCAAATTTTCTTTATTACTCCCTTTTGAAGTTTTTTTCTTTAAAAAAAACTTTGAGGTAAAAACTGACCTTAAACTATTGATACATTGAGGTTAATTCTTATGTATTAGTTCTTATGTATTAAAATCATGGTCTTCTGTTGGTGGTGAATGTTTTGTTGAGCTCATTTAAAATAACATTTGAGTCGTAATGTTGGTACTGCACTGTTTATATATTTCATATGCTGGTAACTATCCTGGTCTACCAGTGGTCCAGAAGATGGGTCTGTCCACATCCTGAGCGTTGATGAGAAGAACAAGTTGGGAGCCAGGATTATCAAGGCAGAGATGATGGGGAATATGGTAAGACTCCTAGATGTTGTTCTTTGGAGACCAATGATTAAATATTTAACTTCTTATGAGTGATTTTAGGAGCTCCTCAGCAATGTGGATGTAGCACACTGCAGAGATTACCGCTGCTTATTGATTTCTTAAAGAAACTCTTAGATGTTTCTAAGAACAGTACTATCTGCCTACTTCTAAATAAATGATCTCCCTTCTTTCTTATATCTGAAAGTTAAGATCTTAGGGAACTATGTGCTTTTAAATTTCTTTTTTACTCTGCTATTTGCTTTTTTCTTGCATTTCTCAGTAGGCCTCTTTGAAGCGAGAGGAAGGTGTCATTTTTTTCCCCGTTTTTAGTCATGTTATTAAAAATGCTTATTACTTTCCTAAATCATTTTATTGAGGAATCCTAGAAAAAAATGAGCGTTTAAAAAAGATGATTCAGTCATTTATTCAAGTTTTAAGGAAATGTTTTTGTGCTTGATACTATGTCAGCTACTTCGTACTGGCTAACTTCCTTAATTCTTGTCGTAATGTTTGAGTTAAAAGTGATTTACCTCAGAATGAATAGAAATAGGGATGATTTTGTAAGAGCAGCATGCATTCATTCATTCATTTATTGTCACATGCCTGTTAAAATTATATACAAGAAGGTGTATGGATCAAAGGGCACGTGGCAGACCAGCACAGTCAGATGAAGAGAATAGTTGCAGTCGTGTTCAAATGTGTCCCCCTGTCTCAAACCCACATATAAGTGATCTTTAAACAGCCTTCCAGTTTGGTATACTGTCAGTACAGTACTCTTTAGTAGAACAAATGGTAGCCAAACAAGATATTTCTGTTTTTATTAGTTTGTCTGATAAAAGGCATATCTTACATTTGCTGTTCTATCTCTTTGAATCTGGTCCTGGGTAACACTTTTGATTCACCTTAGAAGTTGATAAGAGAGATAAACCAACAATAATAATGATTGTAAGAATGTGAAGTTTGAGTTTTGAAAGTTCAGAGGAATTGGTTAAAATAATGAAAGAGAAGTCACCTAGATAAGAGTTTAGAGTCTGTGTCCCTGTGTCCCTGGAACCGCTGCAGGGAGCCCGCTGGTCTTCTCCTGTCACATCAGTCTGTGTGTTTAATTTATTACTTTATGGCTTATTGCTTTATATGATAGTTGTTTTATATTACATAAATTTCCATCGATTTCCTACAGCAAAATTGAAATATATTCAGAATTTCAATCTAAATTACTTAACAATAAAGATAGTAATGTTTTAAATCAGTGTCGGTTGCCTTGTTATAAATAACTAAAGTTGTAAGTATTGGAAGTTTCTAATATCTAAGGAATTATAAAAATGTCATTCTTAAGATTATGTATTTCTTACGTCTCCCCTACCCACCCAAAATATATGTCTTTGTAATTATTTACCTTAAGAGCATAAACAAATGTTATGGATTTTTTAGAAGTTTATAACTGGGAAAAATTCATTAAAAAGGAACATCCTAAGCCTCTAGAGTAGGTCACTGAGATTAGATGGTGGCTGCATGGGAGTTAGCTGTGCTAGTTTTCCTTCTGTTCTATAAATTTGAAATACTCTGTAGTAAAGACTGAAGCTACATGTATCAATTTTTACTTGTTTTTGTTTTTGAAGGAATTAGCTGAACAGCTTAAATCTCAACTAGAAAAGGCAAATAAATTCAAAGAAACTGTAACACAGATATCAAAAAAATCTGGAGAAGAGGTAAGTGAGAAAGCCTGTTTGCAGGCCGGTGATTACCTTGTACGACACCCCTACTCTGCAGGGAGCATTTTAATGTTCCTGTATCTGTGTGTGTTTGTCTGTATGTATATTATTTGTTTGCTTGTTTTAAAAATTTATTCTATTTTATTCTTTTTTAAAAATTTATTCTATTTATTCTTTTAAAAAATTTATTCTATTTATTTTTTTTTTTAAATTTAAAAAAGCATTCTATTACATTTTACCAGTGTGCCTTGGTGGAAAAAAGCTTAGGGTTATGACCAAGGAGACCTACTTTCATTCTAGACTTCGCTGCTTACTGACTATTTGATCTTATTCAAGTAAAATTGGTCCTTAAATTCTTCTTCTACAGAATGAGAGTCTTGAATTAGGTATCTATTATAAAACCAATCACTTTGTTCTATGATTTAATTATCCATTAGTGAGCAAAACAGATAAAAATACCTGCCTGCATGGAACTTTCATTTGGGAAGGGATAGAGGAAAAACAAATGATAAAACTAATAAATAAATAAATTATATAGCATACTAGAAAATTATACATTCTATATCAGGGTACTGGGGGTTTTGAGCAATGGGTGGGTTGTGGTATAGGGCATACAGGTCAGTTCTCATTGAAAATGTGGCATTAACAGCTAGGTGTGGTAGCTCAGCTCACATCTGTAATCTTTGCACTCTGGGAGGCCAAGGAGGGTAGATTACTTGAGCTCAGGAGTCAGGATCAGCCTGAGCAAGAGCAAGACCCTGTCTCTACTGAAAATAGAACACTAGCTGGGCGTGTGTCAGGTGCCTGGAGTTCCAGCTTCTTGGGAGGTTGAGGCAAGGGGATATCTTGAGCCCAAGATACTGAGGCTGCTGTGAGCTATTATGCCACAGCACTCTACCCCGTGCTACAGCATAAGACTCTGTCTCATTAAAAAAAAAAAAAAAAAAAGACTCAAAGTAAGTGAAGTAGTGATTGTGTATCTGAGTGAAGAGCACTTCAGGCATAGGGAAAATAAAATTTAAAAGCCCAAAGATGAGAACACGTCTGCTGTGCAGGAACAACAGCATGGAGGCCAGTGTTGCTGGAGAGGAATGAAGGAGAGAGGGAAGGAAGAGATGGAGGTTGGGGAAACTCTGGGAAGCTAGAAACATGAAGCTTTGAAAGTCATAGCAAGGCAGGGAGATTTTATTCTGACTAAGATGAGGAGCTATTAAAAGGTTTTGAGCACAAAATAAAATTTTGACTGGACCATCCTGACTTCTCTATTAAGAACCGTTTAATTGTGTTTTGTATATGTATAAATGTCTTTTTGTAAATATTGTGAAAGGAGAGCTGACAGGATTTTTACGATGGTTTAGGTGGAAGGTGGGTAGGAAACGTGATAAAGAAAGGACACTAAGAGGACCCCAAGGATTTTAGCTTGAATAAGAATAAAGTAACTATTATTTGAATTATGGAAGAAAGAGGAAGAGTAGGTTTTTAGGTAAAGATGAGCAATCCTGTTTGGATATATAGAGTTAAGATGCCTTTTAGAGGTAGAACCAGTGTAAATATCAAGTAGGCAGTTGGACGGTTGGGAGTTGGGAGGATCCTGGGCTGGATATAAAATAGGGGAGTTATTAGCATATAGATCAGTGGTTCTCAGCCTTCTAATGCTGCGGCCCTTTAATACAGTTCAACCCACAAGTTGAGAACCGCTGATATAGATGATACTTAAATTCATGATACTGTGTGAATTCATCATGGGCATAAATATAGATAGAAGTTGACGGACTGAGTTGAATACTTAGAGGGTTGGAAGTTAGATAAATTAACTTGTTCAGTTTTCACAACATCCCTGGAGGTGGTCCCTCTCATTATTCCAGTATTATAGATCAAGAAACTGGGCACAGATGGTTAAGTGACTTGTCCTGATGCACAACTAAAGAGAGAGAAAGGATTTAAACCCATTTAAGTACTTGTGTTTACATGATACCTCTTCTTTGACTCTAAAGGGCAAAGAAATGGTTGTTTTGGAGAATCAGGTTTAGGATATAATGAAGTTTATAACTGATTTTTAAAGTCTTTCCTCAAAGATTCATGTACATAATTTATTGTCTGTATGAGAAGAGGTTAAAATGTATGCAATTAAGTTCCATAGAATTTTCTTCAGGATGACTTACATAATAGGATAGAGTATGAAATTGACTGTTTTCACTAAGTTATTGTAGCTTATATTTTTAAAAGTGAATAATTCAAAATTTCTTGCTCAAATTAAGGAAATGAGAAATTATAAATAGGATTAAAAAGTCAGGACTAAAGGAGGGTAACTAAAACTAGGTGTACTATGCAATCTATCTTATTCATATATATATATATATATATATATATTTTGAGACAGCGTTTCACATTGTCACCCTTGGTAGAGCGCTGTGGCATCACAGCTCACAGCAACCTCAAGCTCTTGGGCTCAAGTGATCCTCTTGTCTCAGCCTCCCAAATAGCTGGGACTATAGGCACCCGCCACAATGCCTGGCTATTTTTAGAGATAAGGTCTCACTCTGGCTCAGGCTGGTCTCGAACCTGTGAGTTCAGGGAATCCACCCCGCTCAGCCTTCTAAGTGCTAGGATTACAGGTGTGAGTCACCACACCCAGCCTATCTTACTCACTTTTGCCAAATTTTTTCAAGTATCTTCGTGGTCATAATTTGTATACTAAAACGTTAAGTGGTTTTCTAGTGCTAACTATATTAACTACCAGACCTTCTGTAGTATAGCCTTCTACAGTGTGGCCCCATTTTTTAGCCTGAGCTTCAAAGCTGTCTTACACATAACCCACATGTTTCTTTGACATTTACATAATAATAGTGGTAATAAATAATTATTATTTGTGTCACATATCACTTTCCTGAAATCTATTCACTTTTCAGTGTTGGTCTTTACCTCCTTCATTAAAGCTTTTTCTAATCCTCCCGAATAGGTAGAACCTTTTCTACTTCAGAAATCTTTAAGACTTTGTTTTAAAAAAGACTTTTTTTGTTTTAAAGAGCCATTATGGCTTCAAAAAGAAGCAGTAAAGTGGATCTGGTGTGTGGATCAGAGTTGACACACAGATTCTTAAAGGAACCCTATATTCTGAATTAATGTGTTAGCTAATTATGAACTTAATATTTCTGGGCTCTTCAATATTTCTATCTTGGGCGTGCCAAAGTGGAAAAACTTAGTATAATTTGTATTGGCACACCTAAAGGACAGAAATTAGAAAGGGAGGTAGCAGAGGAGAGTTGAGGGGAAGTGGGTTAACTTTGGAAGTCTAATTAGTCTGTCTAATCCCATTGATCAAACATTTGTTGAGTGCTCAGTGCTGTTGGGCACCATGCCAGAGTCTAGAGACTAAGCAGTGTGCAGCTTGGTCTTTTGGTGTGGAAAGGTGGGAGATACACAGGTTTAAACATCTGTTGGGGTAAGTGGGAATTTAGAATGACTGGACTCTGAAGTGTGTTTTGCTGGTAAGTATGATTCTTTATTACTATAAAGGGGATATGCACTTTATGGGAGAAAGTTCTTTATTATGGCAAATATTGTAGGTGCCAGTAGGGAGGGTTCTTGCTGGCTATGTTAGCAAATTGATTTCATAACTTTCATATGAAGTGTTATGTTTCCTCCTTTCTGTGTTTAAAATGAGAATCCATGATTTTTGTCAGCCAGAAAGCTATTTTACGGAGTAATGAGTGAATGGTCTCAGAACATTTTGAGATTTGTTAATTAAAATGTCCATATAAAATGTTAATAACAAATAATCCATTTTGCCGTTTCAAAATATGAAGTCCTACAGACCAAACTGCAGTTGTTGGGGATAATTTAAAAACTCGGCGCATTTGGCCTTCTTATGAAAGTGGGATGCTTTATAAATGCTTTCTAGTTATATCAGGAAGTGTTTCTGCTTTCTTTAGAAAGCAGTTACTAAATCACATGGATGATGAAAATGTTTTTCATATTTTCTGTGTAGAATGAACTTCTCGTTTCCATCTTGGGTTTTAAGGCCAAGTCGATTGTTAGAATGCACTGTCTGGGGTGCCCAGAATGGCACAACTAAGTCTTGTCAACCGGCAGGCCTACGGCACAGAAAGTGGACACAGGGAGGGAAGAAGCGACTAAGGCAGAAAGCGGCTTTGCCTTGGAGAGTAATCCATCTGTCTGGGGCACCAGCTTGTTAATGCCGTTTATCAAGCATTTGTTGAATTTGTGTTTTTGTCTGGCACTGTGACAGGTCTGTAGATACTGAGTAGTATATAGCTTGGTTTTTGTCCTGCAAAGACAGATAATTGTGACAAATAGTTATTGAAAATATTACAGTCTAGTAATATAAATATGCCTGAAATCATTTGATAACAGAGCATTGGCTGTGAATAAACCCTTAATTTCCTAGTTGAGTAAGAAGGGATTATTCCATGCAGAAGAAATGAAACATAGAGTAAATTTATAAAAACTATGAGGAGCTAGAAAAGTCTAGGGCCAGAATTTGCAGGCCTTGTATACTGTGTTAAAACACTTAACCTTTATCACTATTGGGTACTAGTTAGAGTGTGGTTTAGAATCAGGGTTGTCTGTGTATGTATAAAAGTACATTAAAAATTTTCTAGTCAGTCATGAATTAATAGTTATATAAAATACAATAAAAATGAATTATAGAAAAGCGAAATATAAGTCCCAAATTTTTAATTAGTTTGAACCATAGAATTATTCTGTACAGTTGCTATGAAAGTTTAAATAATCAATTTCTATACTTACCTCATGGATTAGTAACAAATACTTAATGGCTGGCAATTCTTAGACTCACAGTGGCCTGTGGGCCATCCTTGGAGTGGTATTGATCTCTTAGGTGATACAGGGTCCCTGCAGATTTTTAAGCAAATGATGGCGTGATTGTATTTGTATTTAACACAATGAATTTTTTGGATTATAAGTGATCATTAAGTTTCGGATTAGAAGGCTAAAAACCAAGGAACCTTGGAATCATCAGCACTTGAGGAGTAGCTGGAAATGGAGGAAAAAGTAAAAGTGACTTTTTTTTTAATATTGATAACTTGTGTAGGAAGTAATTTCCTTGCTAGACTGTAAGGTTTTTGAAGGCACGGACTATATTTCTTTTGACTACTAAGATAGATATCTTTAGGAATATTTGATGATTGAATGAACAAAGAAACGAATGAATGAATGAATGCATCAGAAAGATAAAGGCAGAGTCATGAGAGTAGAGAGTTTACGTCTGTAATAAGAATTTCAGGGCTTGGCAACCATAGCTCAGTGAATAGGGCGCCAGCCACATACACCAAGGCTGGCAGGTTTGAGCCCAGCCCAGGGCTGCTAAACAATGACAATTGCAACAACAACAAAAAAAGCTGGGCTTTGTGTCAGGCGCCTGTAGTCCCAGCTGGTTGGGAGTCTGAGGCAAGAAAATCATTTAAGCCTAAGAGTTTGAGGTTGTTGTGAGCTGTGACGCTATGGCCCTCTACTGGTCTCAAAAAAAAAAAGAATTTCAGGCTGGAAAATATAACAAACAGAAGTAAATGCTCTCAAATCAAGGGATGTAATAATGTAACAAGTATTTATTTGATTTTGTAATTTCAAAGTCCTTTGGGAGACCAGCTATAGCAGTGCAATAAAGTTAGAAGCGAGATTATGGTACGTTGCCCATTCTCTATTGTCCAGTGAGAGAATGAGTAGAGAGATCCTTTAAAATATTTCACTTTGTTAGTTTATTCATTACGGAAGAAAAATAATGATAATCTTTACTGTCAATTTAGTCTGGTGGGTGAATGTAAGATCAGTAATAGGCAGGCATTTTTTTCTTCATTTCAGCAGGGCAACTAATCTCTATTAGGTGGAATTGAAATTTATTTTTTAAAATTCTAATTTGAGAAGGAAATTGAAATGTGACTAATTTCTTATTCTTATTTCAAATAGACTCAACAAAGTCATTTCCTAATAATCTTTATTCTCAATTAGAACCTTTCCAGTAACATTTCATTTTCAAAATAGAATAAAGTTTGCTCTTATTCTATACTGTGCCACGCTTGTATTTGGCAAAAAGTTTGCAAGAAAAGGATTAAGGCTTGAAAGTGTGTGGGATATAACTTCTGGAGAGTTAGAGAACTGAAAAACAATTTGAGGGCTGTTAATAGAAAGAAGAGAAGTTATATGGAGTATCATTAGAGTAGCTAATTTAGCCAGTTTGTTTTGTCATTTAGTTGCTTTATTTCTTATAATCAAATCT